CTCGTCGCGTAATTTTAAAGACCGATGCAACTTTTCCGAGCTGTATCGCCAAGACCACGTGACCACTCAAAGCAAAATTGGAGAAATTGTGCACCTAGAAGTCCTCTACAAACTGACCAATTTTGAGAATACATATGGGACAGAGGGACATCTCCTTAACTTGAAATCCGATAGAACGCAAAAGTTATTCTTTTCCTTGTGATATTGCTGTACGAAAGGTATAGAAATTTATATATTTCATTCTTTACTTTTCAGGCCACATTAGCATTATATGCATCGTGGATTGCTAGCGATGTTCAAAATATGTTAACTGGACTTGTCATCGATTCTGGTGACGGTGTCACGCATGTTGTTCCAGTTGCTGAAGGATATTTAATTGGTAGGATTTGATTCGTTCCGCTTTAAGTTATCGATCCCTAGATCAGGAGCACCATTGATTCCTTAAACTTTTGAAAACCTCTTTTATGGATCTTTCTCAGAAGTACTATCACATATAGAATAACTCACAAAAAGTTCCTACTGCTCATGAACCAAAAGAACTAGGAATACTAGCAGCAAACTTGGTTGTCAAATGTTCTAAATGCTTTTCTCATTTACAGGAAGTAGTATTAAACATATACCCATATCTGGTCGTGATATAACATATTTTGTTCAAACATTATTACGAGAACGAGAACCAACGATACCTCCAGAGCAATCATTAGAAACAGCGAAAGCAATTAAAGTAAGTGATTTTAGAGCAATTAGTGAGTAATCATTAGTAATTAGGTAGTAATTATGTTTTTTAAAGCTTGCAGTAGAATATATTTTTGTTAGGAACGTTATTGTTACGTCTGCCCAGATATTGCTAAAGAATTTTCCAAATACGATGAAGATCCAAGAAAGAATTATTTGAAATATACTGGAATCAATTCTGTTACGAAACAACCATTTTCAGTTGATGTTGGCCATGAGAGGTTTATGGGACCCGAAATCTTCTTTCAACCTGAGGTATATTTATCTCTTATGCTTTTCGTTCACAGGAAAGGTAAATGATATTTGTGTTTTAGTTTTCTAATCCAGAATACAACACATCACTGTCAAAATTAGTTGATGATATCATTCAAGATTGTCCTATTGATGTGCGAAGGAAACTATACGGTGTAAGTATGTTAAAGTTATTTCAACATTTTCTGTAGTTCTCTTTTGTTATTTATAGAATATCGTCTTATCTGGCGGAAGTACAATGTTTAAAGGTTTCGAGAAGCGATTGAAACGAGATGTTCAACGTCTGGTTGATGCAAGATTGAAGGAATCAGAGGAAATTAGTAAACACAAAGTAATTCTCAACGCGTTTATTTTTTGATTTTAAAGGATTTCAATATTTTACTGTATCAGCGTTCGTTCAAAACTAGAAACATGCTCATTATTTTTTTATTTCTATTTAGCCCGATCCCATAGATGTCAAAGTTGTTGCACATGCGATGCAACGTTATGCAGTATGGTTTGGTGGCAGTCTGGCGGCTAGTACAGTAAATAGATCGATACAGAACAAATTTAGTTTATTTATTATATGTTGTTTTCTATCTTAGGCCAACTTCTACGAAGTATGTCGCACAAAGGCTGAGTACGAAGAGAAAGGGCCGAGTATTTGTCGCTATAACCCTGTATTCACGTTGGTATGAGAGAAAAATCAAAATTCCGTTTTTTTGTCCATTTTTTTGCGATTGATTCTATTATTTTATACGGATATAATTCGTCTTCATTTTGTGGGGATGATTTTTTTGTGTATTGCTGATACATTTTTATCTTTATAGTTCGTTTTGGTCAGTAAAGCTGATTTTGTTATTTTTGGTTTTTCGTTAAATACTCGTATAAAAAAATAATGTCTGTTTTTATATTGTTAGCTTCCGTCCTATTTTTTCATGCAGTGTATGTATACGAACAAACATTGTTGAGAAATCCAAAATATGATCTCATACAGACAGATGCACATAGTTGAATTTTTAAATCATATCTAATTTGATCTCGAATGTTATAGTGGAACTGTTTTTTTTGTTCTTTTTTCAAAAATTTCTATTTATAAAAACTTGTTAGTTTCTTTTTATAATAAAATCTTTAGACTAATTAATTAAAAAACGAGATTATCAGAAGTTGATAATCTTCAAAAGTACCCTCTAATATATTTTTACTTCAGAAGATCATATTTTCAGACACTATCGACATAGTTGTTTTGCATAGGATGAGTGAGAGAGTTGAGATAAGTTTGAACATAATACTGGACAATCTGAGGTGTACGATGCGATTGCACATTCGAACGTATATTTGGTTTGATTAAGAAAAAGACATGCATCCATAACCCATATAAATAAAATGAAATCTTTATTTTTTCATAAGTTTCTTATTTAAAATATCACCGACACAAAAATTACTTTGTAAATGCCTCTGAGCTGCACAGTGAATTAGATCTTACGAGGGAACCTATTTAACTATCCAATCGCTTTTTGCACCAAACCTAGTAGAATGCAGGTTTATCGATCACGCTGACTCCGAATATCTATATGAGACGGGCTGCTAGGCCTTTCTCGAGCGAGTTTTCTAGAAACCTCGGAAAATCCCAAAACTTTCTTTTAACAAGTCACGATTTTAGGCCACGGAATTCTGATCAAAATAAGACATCTCCCACCTCTGCATGATCTTTCTTTGCAAAGTTACGGAATTTACAAGAAAAGCCCAAAACTCATTTTTCCTTTTTCTCTCTGAAGCTTTGCGCTGACAATGGACTTTTGTAAATTCCATAACTTTGCAAGGAAAGATCATGTAGAGGTGGGAGATGTCTTATTTTGATCAGAATTCCGTGGGCTAAAATCGTGACTTGTTAAAAGAAAGTTTTGGGATTTTTCGAGGTTTCTAGAAAACTCGCTCGAGAAAGGCCTAGCAGCCCGTCTCATATAGATATTCGGAGTCAACGTGATCGATAACCTACATTCTGCTAGGTATGGTGCAAAAAGCGATTGGACAGTTAAATAGGTTCCCTCGTTAGCAGATATCTATGATCACTGTGAGAAATGTGCAGTCCTCATTAAATGAATATAAGAATTCTGTCTATTCTTCAAAGCTGTTTTATTCTGTAGGCCTTGCACAGAGGTGATCTGAGCGGGATCCGGCGGGTAACTCCCCCATAACTGAAAATAATTTTTTTTCACCGGCCAAATGAAAAAATAGTTTTCAGTGGGCCGCCCCACCACAAAAAGAATTTTTTCACTTGACAAGTTTCTCCACTTACTGAGCACTTGAACAAGAACTCGGCAAGTGTTGTTTCGAAGTTCTTGTCTAAGTACTCGCCGAGCATCGTCACTTGATTAGCTTCAGTACAGTAGTTTACTTTTAATGGAGAAGTTGGCTGAAGTTCTGCAAGTGTTGCCTCGTTTTTCGAAGTTATCTAAAGTGCATCTTGGAACTAACAAATAACTTTTCACGAAGAGACACGTATAAGCGAGAACGAATGTCGGATTCATGATCTGTATCAAAAATTACCCATGTTCGTAAGTATATTTCACGGAAAACTAGGGTTTCACTATATGGTAAGAGCAAAGAAAACGGATTATCCTATCTTCATAAATCCAGTTTCATTAATCACACATTTATGAAAGTTTCATAAAATTTTTCATTTTTATATAACTTCTGCGTTAAAAAATTCAACATCCAAGTTTCCCAAATTTTATGAAACTTGTTTCCAAGTTTTATAAATGTGTGATTTATGAAACTAGATTTATGAGACAGGATATCCCAAGAAAACAACATCATTTGCATGGTAGCGACCTCTATCCAACAGATAGTAACCGTGCTATCAAAAGCCAGAATCATCTAAAATTTACAGAAAAGAGTCATGATCAATAATATCTAATTTTAAAAGTGGTGCAACAAGCTTTTTCTCAAAATTATTTTGAATATTTAGACTCATTGGGCGAATGTAAGCCGTTTACCTTGCGCAGATTTTGAAAAGAAAGAACAAAACTCAACAAAGTGACAAAGAAAGAAAGCGCACGCGATGACTCAATCAACATTGAAATCTCTTTAACCATTTTTCAGATCGATCTTGGCCTGTTTACCAACTACTTCTTCCCAACTATCTCTGGTGAGTCTGTAGTTCAGATTCGGAATGCCGTTTCTTCATATAACGATATGTATTATTTTCATTGCAATTTTTAGGTAAATTTCGTGTTTGCAAACTTCTTCAAACGTCAATCATGTTCGAAGCGCGACTTGCCCAAGGCTCAATTTTTGCCAAAGTTATTGAAGGTTTACGTGAACTCGTCACAGAAGCAACATGGGAATGTAGCGGTAATGGTATTACACTTCAGGCAATGGACAGTTCACATGTCGCTTTAGTTTCATTGGTATTGAGAAGTGATGGTTTTGAAACGTATCGTTGTGATCGAAATATGAGTCTTGGAATTAGTTTAACAAGGCACGTTTGCTTCTAGTTTTATTACGATGTCTTACGACGTTTCCTGTTTATTTTAGTATGTCAAAAGTATTGAAAATGATGGGCAAAGATGATACTTTAACAATACGTGTTAACGATGATTCCGATGCTATTGTTCTTTCAATGGAGTCTCAAAGTAAGTTCAGTGCAAAGAAACGAAGTTTTCGTATATGTGCAATCTTCCGTTATTTTCGCTATAGATCAAGAGGAATTTGCTGAATATGAGTTGCGGTTAATGGATCTGGATAGTGAACATTTGGGTATACCAGATACAGATTATAGTTGTGTTGTTAAAATGCCAAGTACAAAGTTTTCACGTATATGTCGTGATATGGCTGTGCTCGGTGATAGTGTAACGATATGTTCAACAAAAGACGGAGTTAAATTCGGAGCCAAAGGCGATGTTGGTCAAGGTATGTTGTTCATATTTATATCAAATAATGATAGT